CCCGCTCTTACCCCAATCAGTCCCGCTCCCCCCCACTCTTACCCCAATCAGTCCCACTCCCCCCCACCCCCCTCCACCCCCCGCTCTTACCCCACAGACCCTGCGATGTTTTCCTTTTTAATTTCCGATCCAATTCCCTTTTGAAAGTTCTTATTGAATCTGTTTCCATCGCCCTTTCCGGCAGCGCGTTCCAGACCGTAATAACTCTCTGTGTCAAGAAAGATTTTCTGCTCTAAAGAGAACATTCCCGGCCTCTCGGGGTCGGGGCGAAACCTCGGGCAAGTTTCCTTACTCCGCACGCACGCCTCTGTTTGCCCAGCAGTATGTAGGAACCCCGTTGTTAATCGATGGGCGGCGGATCGCTTTCCGGGGCTAAATAGTCTCTCCCCCGAAAAATAATAATAATACTTTGGTCACTCAATCCACGGCTGTTCGTGGGGACGCCGCTGGGTGGAATTTGTCTGCCGCGTTTCGCCCACAAAATACACAGTCAATTCACTTTGCAGTCTATTCTGCGAAGCGACTTAACAACATGATAAGGCGCTATAGCACGTGGAAGGATTATTGTATTCCTAATTATATTTATGTGGCGTTAGCCGGTGACAGCACATCCTCTGAAGCAAAAAAAGTATTATGTTTTATTGATGTTGTATTTCATCGTATTAAATAAATCATCAGCCTAACGTTTTACAACGACAGTTTCTACAACTGTGCGATTTTGCTGTCGCAGATTTTTAATGCTTTAAAATAAATTCTTTATCCTTTTATCATTTAATTTCTGTTTTACGATTACGCGATGATATGTTCCTACGATATCGTACCGGTGACCGAAGCAGTAACCCCTTGACTTGAAAGGTGCTGAAACTAACCACGTCATCGTGATTTTATTCTGTGTCATAATGTAGTATTATTGTTGTTGTACTTTGTTGTTATTATGCATTATATTTAGGATTATTTAACAGATTCTTTCGATCTTATTTGACAGTTGGCTCCTGCTGATCTGTCGTGCCTCCCCACGGCCTTGCGGGCAGATTGTGAGGCACTCTCCATCCCCAACATCACAGGTAAATACCACAGGTTAACAGCTAAACCCTTCCGACACTCTATCTCCGGGCTCTCCACGCGTAGGTGGGAGGCGTGGAGTTCTCAGCTCGGTTTGGAGACCTCCGTCCACGGCGGTTTGCCCCCACGGTCACCCCACTTGACGGTATATTTCCGTGAAGCGCTTCGAGACGTCTCTACCGGCGCGTACATCGAGTGCAAGGATTTATTAACAGCGCAGGACTTTTCCGTTTGCGGCTTCTGCTGGAGTCAGGTTCGGCTTAATTGAGCTGTAGATAATTTGTTGGAAACCGTCCCATTAACACGAACCATCCACAAGGGGTTGACGCGATAACTCTCCGCAGTAACAGACTGCGGACTGGGACCGTTGCTCGCGCCGCTCACGTGCAGGGCTGTTTGTGGGGTCGTTCCTTGAGGATCTAACGGATCTAAAGGGAGGAATATATCAAACAGGGAGTAGACAATGATAACACACGACAGGCGGAAAGGCTTCAACCCTTCCTGTCCTGTAAATTTCCCCCGTTTTGTGTTTTTATTACTAATGCCATTTCCCAGCTCTCTATCTCGGTTTTCTCAGTCTATCTGCCCCGTAGCTCAGTGGTCGGAGCGCTGGCCTCGCGAGCGAGAGGACCTGGGTTCGATTCCCGGGCCGGGCGAAACCTTGGGCAGGTCTCCTCACTCCACACACACACACACACGCGCACGCGCGCGCGCACACACACGGCTGATAATAATCCCTCAAGAAAAAAAAAGAATAAAATTGGTCACTCAATCCGCGGCTGTTTGCGTGCAATTGGCTGCCACGTTTCGCCCGCAAAATGCACGGTCACTACACTTTATGGTGTATTCTATGAAGCGCTTTGAGACGTCTCAACGACGTGATGAGGCGCTGCATCAACTGCGAGGATTGTTATTATTTATTTTGTGTTATATCTCTCTCTACTCGGTTCCGCTCTCCCTTTCTCTCTCAGTCCCTTTCTCAGTCTCACTCTCAGTCTTTCTCTCTCTCCCCCTCAGTGTCTTCTCTCTCTCTCTCTCTCTCTCTCGGTCTCCCCCTCCGCAGTCTCTCTCTGTCCCTCCCCCTCAGTGTCTTTCTCTCTCTCTCTCTCTCTCTCTCTCGGTCTCCCCCTCCGCAGTCTCTCTCTGTCCCTCCCGCTCAGTGTCTCTCTCTCTCTCTCTCTCTCTCTCTCTCTCTCTCTCCCCTTCAGTGTCTTTCCCTCTCAGTCTCTCTCTCTCTCGGTCTCCCCCTCCGCAGTCTCTCTCTGTCCCTCCCGCTCAGTGTTTCTCTCTCTCTCAGTCTCTCTCTCTCTCTCCCCCTCAGTGTCTTTCCCTCTCAGTCTCTCTCTCTCTCGGTCTCCCCCTCCGCAGTCTCTCTGTGTCCCTCCCGCTCAGTCTCTCTCTCTCTCTCAGTCTCTCTCTCTCTCGCTGTCTCAGTCTCTCTCTCTCTCCCTCTCTCTCAGCCTGTCAGCGTGTGATGGACTTTAAGGGTATGTTTAACCCGCCCTTTCACACGGAAAAGCCACTTTACGTGTAATTGCATTTACATGCGGTGACTGAATACGTGGGCAAACATTCCAAACAGCGCAGCTGCTGAACAGCGAGAGAGAATGGGTAATAAGAATCGCAATCCTTACATTCGCTACAGCGCCTTATCGCGTCGTCGAGACGTCTCAAAGCGCTTCGCCGAAATACACTGTGAAGCGCGGTGACTGCGTGTTTTGGGGGGCCGAACGCAGCAGCCGAATTGCGCACAGCAGCGTCCCCGCAAAGAGTCGTGGATCGAGCGACCAGATTTATTATTATCATTATTTATTACGAGGGATCATTTCCCCCGGAGAAGCGATCAATCGGCGAACAACCGGGTTCCCGCTGACTGAGTCCTCTCGCTCGCTCACTCGCTCGCTCGCTCGCTCGGCGAGTGCTCTAACCAGTACGCTACGGGGCTCCTATAACACGGAGTTGGGGTGAAACTCCCTTCTCTTTTCCAGCAGCGTCGCGGGACTTTTAACGTCCTTTACCTTCTGCGAGAGGCACAGGGACAGAGACAGGACGGGCACCTCACCATCGCGGAGTCGTGAAGTTTAGACATTTGAGCGCTCACCTCTGCAGGCAAGAGAGGACCCTGGTTCGATTCCCGGGCAGGGAGAACCTTTCCTTACTCCACACGCCTCCGCTTACCCAGCAGTAAGCGGTTGAATGGCGTGATCTCTTTCCGGGGGCAATAATGCCTCTGAGCCGGTCTGAGGCACGGAGCTCAATATATAGATCAGTTTTGTGGCATCTGCTGCCTAAGGCAGGAATTGGTGTCTGAACCCATCTCTCGATCTCCCTCTTGTCTGTCCGGAGAGAGACCGAGAGAGTGCGAGGGAGACTGAGAAAGTCACAGAGACAGACTGAGAAGCGAGAGACTGGGAGAGAGAGAGAGAGAGAGAGACAGAGAGCGCGACTGAGAGAGTTAGAGAGAGAGAGAGACTGAGCGAGAGACTGAGATCAGAGAGAAACTGAGTGGAGAGTCAGAGAGAGAGAGAGAGACTGAGAGAGTCAGACATACACACACAGAGACAGAGGGGGAACTGGGAGAGACAGAGAGAGAGAGAGAGAGATACAGAGAGAGGAGAGAGAGACTGACAGAGACACTTCACCACAAAATGCACAGTCACTAAACCTTACAGTGTATCCTGTGAAGCACTTAGACACGTCTCAAAGAAATGATAAGGCGGTGCATCAAATGCAAGGCTTATTATTATTATTTCTTATCATACTGGCAGAGAGAGAGAGTGTGAGAGAGAGACAGCGAGACGAGAGAGAGCGAGAGATAGAGAGAGAGGGGGTGGGGGGAACCGGGAGAGACAGAGAGAGAGAGAGAGAGAGAGGGGAGATCGAGAGACGAGGCAGTTAGGGAGAGGTCAAGAGAAGAAATTAGCTCCAGCTCCGGGGATGGCTAATTAGAGCGACACAGAGAGAGAGCGAGAGAGAGAGAGAGAGAGGAGGGGAGGGTGTGAGAGTGGAGGAGAGGGAGGAGGACAGACTGACAATCAGACAGACAGACAGACAGACAGACAGACAGACGCAGGGAAACGACTCGTAATTCATTAACTAAAAGCCTTGATGTTATTTGGCACAGCAGCTGCTGAGCTTCCATTGGTTGGGAGGATGGACTGTGTGGAGGGAAGGGACCGAGGCTTTAAACCACAGAGATAGAGGGAGAGAGAGAGAGAGAGAGAGACGCAACGAGGCAGTGTGTGAGAGACACGCGGAGAGATAGAGAGAGAGAGAGAGAGGCAGTGTGTGAGAGACACAGAGAGAGAGAGAGCGAGAGAGAGGGACACACACAGACACGTACACACACACACACACACAGACGCACAGACACACAGAGAGAGAGACGCAAACTCACAGACGCAGAGAGAGACACAGAGAGTGATACACAGTTAAGACAGTCAAGAGAGTGAGACGCAGAGACAAGAGAGCGACAGACAGAGAGAGAGAGATAGCGGGAGATAGCGGGAGATAGAGATAGAGAGCAGGAGCCAGAATAAAACAAGACGCATGGAAAGAGAGACGAGAGAGTGAGGAAAGACAGAGAGAGAGAGAGAGAGAGAGAAAGTGAGCACGGGAGAGGAAGAAAGAGAGAGGGAGACAGAGCGAGAGAGAGAGAGAGGAGTCACAAATTCAGAGAGAGCGCGAGACAGAGAGTGAGGGAGAGAGAGTGTGAGAGAGAGAGAGAGAGAGAGCGAAAGAGCGAGAGCGAGCTAGCGAGAGCAAGAGACAGAGCGAGGAGAGCGAGAGAGAGAGACAGAGCGAGAGAGAGAGAGAGGAAAGCTAGAGGGAAAGAGAGAGACAGAGCGAGAGAGCAAGAGACAGAGAGAAAGAGCGAGAGCGAGCTAGCGAGAGCAAGAGACAGAGCGAGGAGAGCGAGAGAGAGAGAGAGACAGAGCGAGGAGAGCGAGAGAGAGAGCGAGAGAGAGAGAGGGAGAGAGCGAGGGCAAAGTAACACGCTCACATCCCAAAAGAAAAACTGCGTTCAGCTTATTTCTATTTGTTTGGGGAAACGATATAATTCCCCGTTCCCCCCCGTCATGGACCCCGACATCTTCCAGATTATAATTGACGAGTTCGATCCCAACTGCAGCCTCTTCGACCTTTTCCAGGACAGTTTCTATCCGTCTGACATTCCCGCTCAGTTTGATCTCTCTGGTGAGAATCACACCCTGTCGGTGTCTCTCTCTCTCTCTCTCTCTCTGTCTGTGTCTCTCCATCAGTCTCTCTCTGTCTGTGTCTCTCTCTCTCTCTCTCTCTCTGTCTGTGTGTCTCTCTCCATCAGTCTCTCTCTGTCTGTGTGTCTCTCTCTCTCTCTCTCTGTCTGTGTGTCTCTCTCTCTCTCTCTCTGTCTGTCTGTCTCTCTCCATCAGTCTCTCTCTGTCTGTGTCTCTCCATCAGTCTCTCTCTGTGTCTCTCTCTTTCTGTCTGTGTCTCTCTCTCTCCATCAGTCTCTCTCTGTCTGTGTCTCTCTGTGTCTCTCTCTCCATCAGTTTCTCTGTCTGTGTCTCTCTCTCCATCAGTTTCTCTGTCTATGTCTCTCTCTCTCTGTCTGTGTCTTTCTCTCTCTCTCTCCATCAGTCTCTCTCTGTCTGTGTCTCTCTCTTTCTGTCTGTGTCTCTCTCTCTCCATCAGTCTCTCTCTGTGTGTCTCTCTCTCCATCAGTCTCTCTCTGTCTGTGTCTCTCTCTCTCTCTCTCTGTCTGTGTCTCTCTCTCTCTCCACCAGTCTCTCTCTGTCTGTGTCTCTCTCTCTCTCTCTCTGTCTGTGTCTCTCTCTCTCCATCAGTCTCTCTCTGTCCGTCTCTCTCTCTCTGTCTGTGTCTCTCTCTCTCTCCATCAGTCTCTCTGTCTGTGTCTCTCTGTGTGTCTCTCTCTCCATCAGTCTCTCTGTCTGTGTGTGTGTCTCTCTCTCTCTCTCTGTGTCTCTCTCCTTCTCTGTCTCTCTCCCTCTCTGTCTCTCTCCCTCTCCGCCTCT